CTAACAGACACACACATTTACTGACAGAGACATACATACACACTCACTGACAGACAGACACACATACACACTCACTTACAAAACATACACTCTCACTGACAAACACACACTCACTGACACCAAACAGACTCACTAACAGACCCACACTAACAGACACACACAAATGCTCAAGGGAGAGTGCCCGCCAGCCCGCCCGCCCGGGGACACCAGGAGAAGAGGCTGGCCACACTGGCGTACATAATGGGTGTCAAGGCGGCCACTGGCGACCGCGGTATGTACGCCAGTGGCCTGAAGGTAGTGATTCTACTCACCAGAACAACATTCAATAAGCTGTAGTGTCCCTTTAAGGTAAATTCATAGTTGTTTTGCAAGCTTCCCATTTCTTGCTCGTTAGGTTTAGCTTTTATTATGACCTTCTGGTAGTTCAGGTTCATGATGAACAGCTGTGACCTATTTCTAGACCACAAATAACGCTTTTGTCTTGACAGCAATGGAACCATAGAGTGCAGATCAAAACAAAAACGCTTTCGAACCAAATATACATAACTTACAAGAAAATAAAAAGTTATGGTCCTCAAGACGTTGTTATGGAAAGTCTTGAACTAACCAGTGTTGTAAGATAAAATATTGTAATTAATATTTCTGAATTTCAAATGTCATTCTTAATAAAACTATTGACTGCTCACAATATTCTAAAAAAAAAAAAATCACTTGATATATTTATTTTTGAGCAAAAATGCAACCTCTCATAATATTGCTTAAACATGTATCCCAAAAACATATATGCAGCTATTGGATGAACTAGTGTATTTTTTTATTATCTAATCTTTTATTATTACTTATTTATAGAGTCAGCTGCATAAGTTGAAATTTTAAGATGTTAAAAAGCTAGCTTACACCACAGTAATTTGCTTTCTTTATCCATCCTAGAAAGCCACAAAGGGGGAATCAGGATTTTTAAATGATATTAATTATAAAGATAATACATGGTTAAGGGATGCCTGGCCTTGACTGGTCTAGGGCAGCCCAAAACCTAAGTACACAACAGCCTCTATCTATGCAAATCCCACCTCTAGACCCTCTAGAGTCGAGCTAATAATCATGCCTTTGGCTTAGATCCCCACTAATTCTATTGCTGGTTTCTACTTACATGGCCACCATTCTGGTGGTACAGCAGATAACGGTGTACGGGGCTTGGGCCGCACATTCTTAATGTGCATATATATATATATCGATTATCGCTATAAATATTTGCCCCTGCAGGCCCCCGGCTGCCTATATAGTGACAAGGGGGCCCAGCAAATGTCGTCTTCAGCTTCGGCAGCTCCTCTCTCCAAATTTCATGAGTGAGAGCTGGAGAGAGGATCCTCCAGGAAGCTGAGGATCTTATTGGGCCCCCTTGTCACTATACAAGTACCACCAGAACACCATGGATTGTAATGTCCCCCTCCATTACCACAGATACAAGGCAGGGAGGGTGAATAACATTAAAAAAAATCTTTCCCACAGAATGCAGCCCCAGTGCTGCCCCACATATTTACACATACTGCAACCATTACATTAACATATTGCAACCAGGGCCGCCATCAGGGCATGACAACCATAACGGTTGTCAGGGGCTGGCGGTCCTGGGGGGCCCGGTATGTACCCGCTGTGGCCAGCCTCTTCTTCTGGGGGTTCCAGCAGCCGGTCACCTCAGGGCCCCCCGAGGCTGGCCCTGGTGTCACCCGGCTGGCGGGCACGCGAGGGAGCACTCTCACTGGCTGAGTGCTTCCTCTTCAGCTCCCGCGCTCACCGCAATGATGCCGGAGCCGGAAGATGACGTCATATTCCGGCTCCGGCATCAGTACGCAGCACGCGAGGGAGCTGAACAGGAAGCACTCAGCCAGGGAGAGTGCTCCCTCGCGCGCCCGCCAGTCCGCCCACAGGACCGGCCGCCGGGTGACACCACTGGACCCCAGGGAATCCCCTCAGCACTCCCAAAGGTAGGGAGGCTGGGGGGATGAAATTTGAAAGAAAAAAAAAAAAGTGTTAGTGTGTGTGTTAGAGTGTGTGTTAGAGTGTGTATGTTAGAGTGTCTGTGTTAGTGTGTGTGTGTTAGAGTGTGTGTGTGTTAGTGTGTGTGTTAGTGTGTGTGTGTTAGTGTGTGTGCGTGTTGGTGTGTGTGTTAGTGTTAGAGTGTGTGTGTTAGTGAGTGTGTGTTAGAGTGTGTGTTAGTGTGTGTGTGTTAGTGTGTGTTAGAGTGTGTGTGTTAGTGAGTGTGTGTTAGAGTGTGTGTTAGTGTGTGTGTGTGTTAGTGTGTGTTAGAGTGTTTGTGTTAGAGTGTGTGTGTTAGTGTGTTAGTGTGTGTGTTAGTGTGTTAGAGTGTGTGTGTTAGTGTTAGAGTGTGTGTGTGTTAGAGAGTGTGTGTGTGTGTGTTAGAGTGTGTCAGTGAGTGTTACTGTGTGCAGGGCTGCCATCAGGGCATGACAACCAAACGCTTGTCATGGGCCCGGCGGTCCTGGGGGACCCGGTATGTACCCGCTGTGGCCAGCCTCTTCTTCTGGGGGTCCCAGCAGCCGGTCACCTCAGGGCCCCCCGAGGCTGGCCCTGGTGTCACCCGGCTGGCGGGCGCGCGAGGGAGCACTCTCCCTGGCTGAGTGCTTCCTCTTCAGCTCCCTCGCACACCGCACTGATGCGGAGCCGGAAGATGACGTCATATTCCAGCTCCGGCATCAGTACGTGGCGCGCGAGCTGAACAGGAAGCACTCAGCCAGGGAGAGTGCTCCCTCGTGCGCCCGCCAGCCCGCCCACAGGACCGGCCGCCGGTTGACACCACTGGACCCCAGGGAGTCCCCTCAGCACTCCCAAAGGTAGGGAGGCTGGGGGATGAAATTTAAAAAAAAAAAGTGTTAGTGTGTGTGTTAGAGTGTGTGTGTTAGTGTGTGTTAGTGTGTGTTAGAGTGTGTGTGTTAGTATGTGTGTGTTAGTGTGTGTGTGTAAGAGTGTGTGTGTGTGTGTGTTAGAGAATGTGTGTTAGAGTGTGTGTGTGTTAGCGTGTGTGTGTTAGTGTGTGTGTTAGAGTGTGTGTTAGTGTGTGTGTGTTAGTGTGTGTGTATTAGAGTGTGTGTGTTAGTGTGTGTGTGTTAGTGTGTGTTAGTGTGTGTGTGTGTTAGTGTGTGTTAGTGTGTGTTAGTGTGTGTACATAGTGTTGTGAGTGTGTGTGTTAGTGTGTCTGCTGTTAGTGTGTGTGTGTTAGTGTGTGTGTGTTAGTGTGTGCTAGAGTGTGTGTGTTAGAGTGTGTGTGTTAGTGTGTGTTAGTGTGTGTGTGTGTGTTAGAGTGTGTGTGTGTGTTAGAGTGTGTGTCTGTTACTGAGTGTGTTAGTTTGTGTATGTATGTTAGTGAGTGTGTGTTTTGTGAGTGAGTGTGTGTCTGTCAGTAAATGTGTGTGTCTGTTAGCTAGTGTGTATGCGTCTGTTCGTGAGAGTGTTTATGTGTCTTAAGTACTTACCTTTCTCCAGCGCCGGACTCCCTTGGCGCTGGGGATCTCTCCGCTCTGATCCGCCTCTCAGCTCCGAATGCGCATGCGTGGCAAGAGCTGCGCGCGCATTCAAACCGCCCATAGGAAAGCATTACTCAATGCTTTCCTATGGACGTTCAGCGTCTTCTCACTGTGATTTTCACAGTGAGAATCACGGAAGCTCCTCTAGTGGATGTCAATGAGACAGCCAGTAGAGGCTGGATTAACCCTCAGTGAAACATAGCAGTTTCTCTGAAACTGCTGTTTTCAGCTGCAGGGTTAAAACTAGAGGGACCAGGCACCCAGACCACTTCATTGAGCTGATGTGATCTGGGTGTCTGTAGTGGTCCTTTAAGTGTATCTGCATGCACTGGCATACATACTGCAGTCGCAGAGGTCGCAGCCCTGTGACCAGGTGCCCGCCGCCATGTGTTGTGGCCCCAGCCCGCGCAGAGTAAACGCGCGGGGGGGGGGGCACGGATCAGTTTTCACACCGGGGCCCCACGGGTTGTGTGTATGCCACTGCCCACATTAGCTATGTGCACACATATATAGCGATTAACGCTATATATGTGTGCACTGCGGGCCCCCCGCTACCTGTATTCTGCAGGGGGCCCAGCACACTTGAAATATACTGCCCTGATGCTCTGCTCTGTTGAGTCTCGCGAGCGACGCCATGGCAACGCTCCGCACAGCTCGCGAGACTTCGACAGAGCAGAGCATCTGGGCAGTATATTTCAAGTGTGCTGGGCCCCCTGCAGAATACAGGTAGCGGGGGCTGCACCATTCCTCAGGACCTCCGGCTCCAGGGCTCCAGCCAATGTGATCTCCCCCCTCCATGGCCACAGGTGAGATACAGGGAGGGAGGAATAAAACACTACAATTAATGGATGGAAAAAAAAACTGTAGGCTTTTCCCCCCACATTTTGCCACCCCATACATTTACACACACTATACACTAACATTTACACACACTATTCACTAACATTTACACACACTATACACTAACATTTACACAGACTATTCACTAACATTTACACACACTATTTACTAACATTTACACACACTATTCACTAACACATTTACACACACACTATTCACTAACATTTACACACACTATACACTAACATTTACAAACACACTATTCACTAACATTTACACACACTACTCACTAACATTTATACAAACTATACACTAACATATACACACAATATTCACTAAAATTTACACACACTACATCCTTACACAAACATACACTCTGCAGTCACTACACACACTACATCTTTACACAAACACACACTCTGGAGTCACATTATTCACTAACATTTACACACACTATACACTAACATTTACACAGACTATTCATTAACATTTACACACACTATTTACTAACATTTACACACACTATTCACTAACACATTTACACACACACTATTCACTAACATTTACACACACTATACACTAACATTTACAAACACACTATTCACTAACATTTACACACACTATTCACTAACATTTATACAAACTATACACTAACATATACACACAATATTCACTAAAATTTACACACACTACATCCTTACACAAACATACACTCTGCAGTCACTACACACACTACATCCTTACACAAACACACACTCTGGAGTCACTACACAAACACACACACACACACACACACTCTGCAGTCACTACACACACTACATCCTTACACAAACACACACTCTGCAGTCACTACACACACTACTTCCTAACACAAACACACACTCTGCAGTACCTACACAAACACACACTTTGTAGTCACTACACACACTACATCCACTACACAAACACACAGTCTGCAGTCACTATACACACATTAAATACTTACACAAACACACACTATGTAGTCACTATACACACACTACATCGACTACACAAAGACACACTCTGCATCCACACACTGTATTAATTAAACACGACATCCACTACACACACTCTGCATTCACTACACACACACTACATCCACTACACAAACACACACTCTGCATTCACTATACACTCTGCATTTAATACACACAAACACTACATCCACTACACAAACACACATACACACTCTGCATTCACTATAAACACACACTACATCCACTACACAAACACACACTCTGCATCTAATATACACCTCATACATTACACAAATGTACAATCTGCATCCGCTATACACACTGCATCCGTTAAACACACACCGCATCCACTTAACACACGAACTCTGCATCCACTACACACATTCTACATCCACTATACACACACCAGAATCAGTACAGACACTGCATCCCTGTGGGCACACTCGGGGGGGCAGCACTTTGGGCGGACTCAGGTGCAGGCACCGGTGGGCCCAGACCTTGAGCTGTGTCAGGGGCCCCAAAATTTCTGATGGCACCCCTGACTGCAATCATTACATTACACAAACACACACACTGCATCCTCTACGCACACTGCATCCAGTACATAAACACTACATCTTCTACACACACACACTGCATCCCCACACTGCATTCATTATGCACACTGCATTCACTACATACACACTGCATCCACTACATACACACACTGCATCCACTACATACACACACTCTGCGTCCTCTACACACATGCATAGCATCCACCACATATGAACTGCATCCACTTTAAAAAACATGCACTCTGCATCCACTCTACACAGACTGCATCCTTGTGGGAGGGCTGGCAAAGGGTGGTTGCCCTTGGGATTCTAGTATGGGAGGGCTGGCAAAGGGGATGTGGATTGCAACTTCATTCTTTGGCAAACTAAAATAGCAGACAGTACTGTGGGATATCTGTTAGCACAGTACTGCAGAAGTGAAGCAGAAGCCAGGAAATGTACTGAGCCTTTTCTAGGTAACCACTCTGTATGTGGGGGGGGCATGGGCTGGTGGCCTGCAGTCATAATGTCATCCATGAATGGGCCATTGGGATATTTCCCACAGGGCTGCAGTATATCTAGTTGACCAGATTGCCAGTCTAAGGTATTTACATATAAATGATTCATAAAACGATATGAATGTCCCGGGTGACAATAGAATCTTAGGGAACAGAGACAGAGTCTACTAAGCATGTATGCTCATTCATGATGCACGTGTCATTCTTATGAAAGTTAAAGGGATTATAATGTCACACCTCACTACTCCAGAAGCCTCCATTTGTCATATCCTTATATTGTTTGCCTCAAGTGATTAGGACCATCCACACTGAGATCAGTGAGTTCAACTTCAAACATAAAAAAGTTGCCCGCCCTTCCATGCCTACCATCCCATACAGTAAAAATAAAATTTGCTACCTCTACCCATACTTATCCAAAGTTTCATGCTCTTTGGTCATAATGGCGTGACACACAGACTTCACAAGATCATATCAGATCCTACCTTCGCGGGAAATAGGAGACAGTCACCTCTAAGTTATGGAAATTCTTCTACTCTTCTCTTTCGTCTTCACGGCTCACTCTTGCCTTTCATTTCATCTTGGAAGTTCCTCTACATTTTTCTCTCATTTTTAATGGCTTGTGAATACCAATGAATCCACTGAAGAATTCTGCAGTCACTACAAATGGAGCCCATCCTGTTAGGTTCCCATTGATGGTTCTTGTATTATTTTATTTGGAGATTCCTCTCTTCCTTGCTTTGTTGTCAACCATATTGTTAATCATTTTTGACTGCTTCTTGTGTATATGTGTAAAAATATTTTTTTTTCTAGCGGAATAGAGTGAATAAGGGAAGGAAGGTTTAGAGTATCATGGGGTACATCGTGAATATGCCGTATGTTTACTGTTATAGGTGATTTAAGGTTTAGATGAGGACTATATTTGCTTTTAGGGATAGTATGCATGCTTACAAGAGCCTTGTCCTTTTTCTGGTATGATCAGTGATGTGAAAATAAAGTAAAAGACCCATATTATTTTTATTATAATTTCTTTATAAAACACCAACACATTCCTCAGAGTTGTATATGTCTACAATAAAAAGACAAAGGTACAATAAATCTGAGACAAACAAAATTATACAAACAAATACGGGGAGAGCTGAGGGCCCTAATCCTATGGGGACTTACAATCTAGATACTGCAAATGTCCTACATATAAAATTAGTTGCTCAAAAACATCAAATGTGCTCCCCTTCTTTGAAAAAAAATGAGTGATGCTTTCAGTGGTGCTTTCACATATCAAACTTGAAATGTGCTTTCAAGTTTAAAGCGCTCCACTATTTTTTATTATATTTTAGTGATGTGAAGAAGAGTCATTGACGTGTCTTTACGTATCCCGTTGTCATACCTTCCAATGTTGGATCTTGGATCTTGCAAAAATAAGCAAAAACCTATGTGACTTGTTCATTTCTGCATTTGGATTGGCTGGATATACATGAAGCCAGCCTCATTTCTTTAGAGCAGGGATGGGGAACCTTTGGCCTTCAGATGTTTTGAACTACATCTCCCATAATGCTCTAACAGCCATAATGCTGGCAAAGCATCAAGGGAGATGTAGTCCACAACATCTGGAGGGCTGAAGGTTCCCCATCCCTGCTTTAAAGGTAGTAAATACAAGTATCTGGGCATTTGATGGTTTAACTTTAAAAGGCAATCTTTATTTGAAACATAGAAAAGGAGACAATGTTTCGGCTCCTACATGACATGAGCCTTTGTCAAGTCAAATAAAACAAGTGTTATACGCCTAGGATCTAAAGGTGAGAGATGGAGGAGTATCCCTAACCTGCTCAATACCACCAGAAAAAAAAACATTTACCTTTCATAAAAGGGTAAAAGAAAGTAAACCCACACATATAAGAACAGTTCACCATTCACAAAATACATTAATCTATACTACACAGACAAATCTAGCATATGTGCTGTGGCTACAGTTAGAGCTATATAACTAGGTTTTAGCCAATGCACATACTCTAGATTCTATTCTGGCTTTCTATGAATATGTATATGAACCTGGTAGTATAGTGAGACTATAGTGAGTGTATGCAGTTATGTAAATGCATGCACGCTGTTTTAATTTTCAGAAGAATGTTTTATGGCTGCAGCAAACAACTTCTTGCCAGTACTCCCATGCTAGTGGTCCATGCAGGGCCGGCCTTAGGGGTGTGCGAGGGGTGTGCGAGCTGTGCGACCGCACAGGGCGCCATGGAACAGGGGGCGCCCTGTGGTCGACACAGCTCACTCATGGCTGGAGTGCAGGGGAGCTAAAAGAGGTACCTGGCTGGAGGATTAATTATTCTCCACCCGGGTCTATTTAAAAAAAAAAAAAAAAAAAAAAATCGCGGCAGAGGGGGCGGGGTTTACCGAGCGGCGGAGGCGGGGCTTATCGAGAGGCGGAGACGGGGCTAATACCTCCCGAAGCCCCTGCTGTACAGGAAGAGGGAAAGATGCTCCCCCATCAGCCAACTGCATCCACTGGAAAGAGGTAAGTGTGTGTGTGTGACTGTTTGCCTGTTTGTGTGACTGTCTGTCTGTGTGTGTGTGTGACTGTCTGTCTGTGTGACTGCCTGCCTGTGTGCGTGTGACTGTCTGTGTGTGTGTGTGACTGTCTGTGTGACTGCCTGTCCTTGTGTGTGTGTGTGTGTGTGACTGTCTCTGTGTGTGACTGCCTGCCTGTGTGTGACTGTCTGTGTGTGTGACTGTCTGTGTGACTGCCCATGTATGTGACTGCCCATGTATGTGACTGCCTGTGTGTGTGACTGTCTGTCTGTGTGACTGTCTGTCTGTGTGACTGCCCGTGTGTGTGACTGCCTGTGTGTGTGAGACTGTCTGTCTGTGTGACTGTCTGTCTGTGTGTGTGACTGCCTGTGTGTGTGACTGCCTGTATGTGACTGCCTGCCTGCCTGTGTGTGTCTGTCTGTAACTATCTGTCTGTGTGTGACTGCCTGCCTGTGTGTGTGACTTTCTATCTGTGTGACTGCCTGCCTGTGTGTGTATAACTGTCTATGTGTGTGTTACTGTGTGTCTGTCTGTGTGTGTGACTGCCTGTGTGACTGTCTGTCTGTGTGTGTCGCTGTAGCTGTGCCATTGCTTGTGCCTGTGCCTGTATGTGTGACTGCCTTTAACTGAGTGTGTGTGTACATGCCTGTAACCGAGTTTAAATTTCCCACACCCTTTCCTGTCAAGGCCGCACTTTGACTGACAGACGCTCACTCACTGACAGACGCACACTCACTGACAGACACACACTCTCATATACACTGACAAACAATGACATACACACATACACTATTACTTGGACACACACTGACAGATGCACACTCTCACTGACAGACGCACGCACTCACTGACAGACGCACGCACTCACTGAAAGACGCACGACTCCACTGACCGACACATACACACTCACTGACCTACACACTCACTGACCTACACACTCACTGACCGACACACACTCACTGACTGACACATACACACTCACTGACAACACATACACACTCACTGACCAACACACACATTCACTCACAGACACACACACATTCACTTACAGACACACACAATTACACACTTACAGACACACACACACACACACACATTCACTTCAAAATAAACACTCACAGACACACACACAGACATTTCCACTAACACTCACAAACTAATATTTTTTACATTTATTTTAAATCCACCCAGCCTCCCTGGGAAAGCTGGAGTGGATTTCTTACCAGCAGTCCAGTGTGGCTGCTGGGCAGGCAGGCAGGGGGCGCAC